ACACACACACACACACACACACACACACACACACACACACACACACACACAACAAAGTCTAAGTCTGCAGATAAACATCCACAAATAGGCACTTGGTGTCTTCAGCTCTGGGGTTGGAGAGATCTGGGGCTTTGGCCCCCAAAAGCAGGAGCCACTGTCCCCAAAGGGGGGGACAACAGCTTCTGAAGACCCTGGGGTCTGATCTGTTAGGTGGTACTGGCCCAGCTGGATGGGAAGGAGGCCTGTTTAAAGAAGACCCAACTCCCTCATTTCACTGAGATAGGGACTTGCTGGAAGCTCTGTGTCCTGTGCATTTCCTGAATATAGCGAATTGGTATTTCTCAAGAGCACATCCCTGAAAGGGCAAATGCTGGCCATTTAAGTGTGGGCATCTCAGGTTGGGAACTGACCGGCTCCATGAGGCAGGGGCCAGATGCAGTTTGCTACTAAGCACTGTGTCCTCGGGGCCCACCACTGCGCCTGGCACCTAAGGAGGCATACAGTATATGTTTGCTGAATGACTGAATAATCCAAGAAGAAAATCCCATTCTCTAAGAATACACATTTACAACCTTTTCATTGGTTATATATCAGTTCCTCTCTAACCCTCAAAGTGGAATTATAATTCACTTATTCTCCTCAATCAGCTGGCCTTAAAGGAATTTTTTTTAGCTGAAACTGAGTCTTTTCAGTTGGAGCCAGAGAATGAATCTGATTATGTCCAAATGAGAGGGTCTTCAGCAAATGCACTGAGAAACTTCAATGGGATAATCAATCCGTCTCTAAGGCCAGCAGCTGGCCCAGAACTGGCTGTTCAGGCTGGAGGTTAGGACAGGGTCTTTATGTGTTGGATCTGAGGTCTGGAGAGGAGAGGCAGGTCTTTCACTGTGTCCTGGGGGAAGGTCTGAGCCTGGCTGGTGGGGAAGAAGTCCTTGTCTAGCTGTCTGGAGAGACGGCATGGGAATAGGAAGTGGAGGCTGTGAGAGGAGGGAGGTCAGGGACTGGCCAGAGAATCAAGGACCCAGCAAGAGAAGATGGATCTGGCTCACCCTGGAGCATCTTGATACAGTGAACTCTCAGGCCACAAGGATGCTGGCGTGGGGAGCAACCCCCAAGCATCTGGGAGAGCCTGGGTCCATGAGAAAGAAGCAGCATAAGAATCGTGTAAACAGGGAAGGCTGCTCTGATAAAATCCACTTCCAGGGAAGGCTGTAAGCTCAATTACTGGACCCTCAGGGAGTCTAAGTCTAAGGAGGCTAGCCAACGGTGTCTACACGGCAGAGGGAAAGCCAAGGGGATTTGACAGAGGCTGTTAAGGAATGAATAATTGGGGGTGTCCAGGTGGCCAAGGGAGGTGAATTTCAAAGGATGATGACAGTTCAAGGTACATCTGGGGTTCCAGAATCCCTTTCCATGCCATCTACCTTGACCCACAAGGCATGGCTACAGGGACAACTGGTCATCCCAGAACCTCCTTCCCTTCTCCCCTCATTCAGTTTTGGACAAGAGACTAAAGATTCTTTGGGGAAGGGTTTGGGTAAAGTGGTTTTTGTTTTGTTTTGTTTTTCACATCAGGGCTATACAGACACTGGCTAAATGTCCAGCTAGTTTCGGGAAGGAGAGCATGGAGGCTCAGGGGGTGACTTCGTGGACCCTGAGGCCCTTCTGAGGGAAGGCAAGGCACAGATATCTCAAATCCCCTCCCCGCGTCTGGAGGACGCGGCCTCCAGTCCACGTCAGGCAGGGGGATTCTCTGGGGGTGTGAAGAGTCTGGAGAACTCAAGGAAGGAGGGAGGTGCCCAGGCCCCTGTAGTGTGAACCCTGACAGTCAGATTTTCTCCTTCTTCTAATACGAGGGCCTGACTCAGCTCTGATTGCTGAACATCCACTTCGAACACGGAGATCTTGAGTAAACACGTTGCCAGCCACACAACTAGATGAAGAGCCAGGCCGCCTCCCCCCACTGAGGCTCCTTTCTTTTAGCGATCTTGATTGCTTTTGATAACTGACCATTTGGGCCACCTGCCTTTTTCCTCGTTCCTCGCTTTAAATTCCCACTCTTATGCTTTAAATTCACCAATAAAGAGTGAGTCCTCGAAATCCTAGGCCCTCACCCTCAACTCCCATAAAAGCAGAACCCCAGTTCCGTGGGTTCTCTCTCTCTCTCCCCATGACCTCACTGTGTGGCCCCAGGTGTGCCAGGTTATTTCCAGGTCCTGTAAGTAAAAATAAAATGAAAAGTAATAAACGTTTTCCCCCAAGTTTCCTGATAGTTATTGCTGAAGCGCATTTTGCAATCATAATAAAACCCACAAGGGTTGGTCCAGCCTCAACACTGGTTGTTGATGGGCTGTGACAGGCACACAACAGCCCCCTGCAGGTCAGGGTACCATGTGCCACCACTTGAAGGTGAAGGGCTTCCTGCGTACGTTGGTGCCGCAGTGCACCTCCCCCAGAAATTTGTGGTAGGCGGAGATGTCATCCACGAAGGTGCAGCAGAGGCCCAGGGGCTCCAGCAGGGAGCGCACATGTGTCTCCAGGCAGCACACCTCCTCAACCTGGGGCCCAAATGGCTTGGGGATGCCCAGGTCCTTGCTGAGCACAATCATGTTCACCTGCAACAAGGAAGCGGGGGGGGGGGGCACAGCTCCGTTTAGTGAGCACCTACTATGCCCCGCCCCGTTCTAAGCTCACTGAACCCTCCCAACAACCCTATGAAGTAGCGATTGTGATTATCCCCATTTTACAGATGAGGAACTGAGGCTCGGGGGGGCTAAGCAACTCATACATGGCAGAGCTGAGTGGAAAACGAGGCAACCCACCCCTGTATTATGTGTATGTCCATGCGGCTATATATGTACGCATCAGCGTGTGCATTGCACGCATGCGTGTATGTGTGTTTTCATGTGTGTACATGTGTGTATATATGTATCTATGTGTGTGTGTATGTGTGTTCTAACCTCCTTCTATCACATAGAAGACTCTGCTCTATGATAACAAGAATCCCTCCTGTCTATAAAGGCCTTTTTAATTTACAAGACACTCTCCAATCTGTTAAAGGATCCCCCAGGACCCCAGGGGGCAGCTAGAATAAGGATATCACCCCAGAAGGGAATGAGGCCCAGAGAGGGTGAGTGCCTGGGGTGGGTGGGAGGCCACACAGCAACTCAGCCGGGACTGGGACCCGGGCCTCCTGATTGGACAGCCTCAGCCGAGGGGTCCCTCTGGATCTGGCTGCCCCTGACTGGCCTGGATGAGGTTTGGGGTCCAGAGCGCCTCACCATGTTTGGGAAGAAGGCTCTGGCCTGGCGGTCCTCGTCCATCTTGAAGAGGGCAGGCAGGTCAATGATGTCCTGCTCCGTCAGCCCCAGCTCCTTCTTGAGGATGTCGCGGTTCCAGTCCAGGCAGCGCTGGGCGACGGGGAAGAAGGGAGGGCAGGCAAGTGAGGGGACACCCCTGCCACCTTTGTCAACCTCATCCCTGCCTGCAGGGCACCCGGCACTCCAGAGAGAGTGTCAACCTCACCCCGGCACTCCAGCACGCGCCGACCTCTCTGGTGCCCCTCCCACCAGTCATGGTAGTAATAAAGAGAACGAGAGAGAAGAGTACAGAAATAATACTAGAAAATCACAGAAATAACACTAGTGAGGGCTCATTTACTGAGCACCACCTACTACAAGCCAGACCCTGTGCTAAGCTCTTGCTATGCAGTATCTCATTGAATCCTTAGGCTGTCCCGTGTGGTGAGAATAACAGTGACAATGATTTTGATTAATAATAATTAAAACTAATATGTACAAGAACCCTAAGTGTACTGTTCTAAGTGCTTTACGTACGTTACTTATTTAAGCCTCAACCTCATGAGGTAGACACTATTATTAGCCCCTTATTAGAGACTCTACCCAAAATGTAGAGTCCTTAGTGAGTTGCCCAAGGTCCAACTGCCAAAATGAGGGGCCATGATTTGACCTCAGATCTACCCGATGCCAAACAATGTCCACGGAGGGGAGTTACAGTAAAGTCAACTTTCAAATAGCCAGTGAGGCATTATGTGAACTTTGGGAAACTCTGCAGTTGCTTCTACAGCCTCCACTCCACCCCTCCCCCTGAAATGTAGCAGCCCGTTATTGGGTTGGGTTGACTACATCCTCCCCTCCTGGTGGACCCTTGCCCCTGCCTCTTTGCTCCAGTGATTGGTTCAAGGATGGGCAATAAACCAGGATTAAGGGAATCAGTATATGGAATTCCCCTGGCTACAATAATTGGTTCAGGTTGGCACAATCAGAGTGAAATGCAAAACTTTTGTTTAATTGTTGGGGGCACAGACCTCCCTCTTTGTGGATGGTGTGCTGGATGGATGTGAGACCTTGAACTGTTGCAGCTGTACTCCTGTCATGAGGGCACCTGTAGAGCCCAAGAAGTGCAGAGAAATAGAGCTGGAGCCCTGATCAACCTGTGCCTGAAATCCATAACACTGCTGGACTTCCTACTCATATGAGTCAATTAAGCCATTTAAAAAAATCAGTTTGAGTTTTTAAATTTAAACTTGATACTCTAAATGTGCCCATGCAGGGCTTCGTCGGTGGCACAGTGGTTGAGAATCCACCTGCCAATTCAGGGGACATGGGTTTGAGCCCTGGTCTGGGAAGATCCCCCATGCCATGGAGCAACTAAGCCCGTGTGCCACAACTACTGAGCCTGAGTGCCACAGCTACTGAAGCCCGTGCACTTAGAGCCCGTGCTCTGCAACAAGAGAAGCCACCGCAGTGAGAAGCCCACGCACCACAATGAAGAGTAGCCCCTGCTCGCCGCAGCTAGAGAAAACCCGCACGCAGCAACAAGACCCAAAGCAGCTAAATAAATAAGTAAGTAAGTAAATAAATAAATAAATATGCCCATGCAAATAAAGAGAGATCTAATTCAACGAAATATGACCCTTTTGACTGGTATCTACTTTTGGATACAATCTTTGAGATTTAGGGACTCCAGAGGTGGGATTCATCCATAGATAGAAAACTTCAGGGATCTCTGATCCCCTAAAACAAATAAAAATTCATGGCATGTGTTTACGTATGAAATTTTCTGGAGAGCAGGTCTGTAGTTGTCATCATATTTTAATGAGTGTGGGTCTCCCCCATATGCTCTGGGCTGCAGCCTTACAGAGCCCTTGGTTCTTTCGTACTGCCTGATACACCTTCCTTCCCAGGCCTCCTGTCTGCTTCTAGCCTCCACTGACCTGCTTTGTCACCCCATTCAGCCTCCAGTTTAGAGGCGTAAACCAGAAAGGCTGGACTGAATGCTTATTGAGGTCTTTCCCTCTGTCATGTGCCCTGAACCCTTGGCCATTCCCTATGGAAGCCCCGAGGATGTGACAGGTGCCATTGGTCACAGCCTTGTCCCTCCCACAGGCCCCTGCCCCGCCCTCACCTGGAAGTACTGGTTCTCCTGCACGAGGCTCTCGTTGGACAGAATTTTGTTGATGGTGATTCGCTTGCTGCTCATCCCGCCCAAGCCTGTGGGGGTCAGAGGACAGGGGACAGTCTAGTTTTAGGTGTCCAGCCTGGGCGCTCCCCTTTGCCAAGGCCCCCAGCTTCTGGGCTAACTCTTAGGATGAGGGAGAGGGGCTGGGACAGGCTGGGGCACAGAAGGGCAACCCCAGGGGTAACTCCTTTCCCCAGGGTTGGCCATGTCACCTGGGCCAGGGAAGGGGTGGCAGCTGTCTTGCTCTCTCTCTGGCCAGAGGGTAGGGTGGCACAAGAAGCCTGCTTCTAAGGATGAGCAGCAGACCAGAGGGAGTGCGGCAGAAGCAGGATGCCAAGGGGCGTCACCCTTCCTGTTTTCCAGACCTGCCTCATGCTTGGCCCTTGTCCTGGTCTATGCCTGCATCTGCCTCCTATTCCATCACGATGGCCCACGTGGCTTCTGGCTTGATTAGTGATACCTAATGCTCATGGAGCGCCTGCTATGTGGCAGGTAGTCTTCTAGATATTTACATGGATTAACTCAGTAATCCTCCCCACATTTCTATAAGGTAGCTTCCAGCATTAAGGATGAAGAAATGGAGGCACAGAGAAGCTACATGACTCGTCCAAGGTCTTACAGCTAGTGGAAGAGCCCGTAAGCAGACCAGGCAGTCTGATTCCAGAGCCTAAGCTATTAACTCTTTTTTTCCCTGCCTGATGCTGGTCCTCTGTGTTTCCTAGTCCTGTAGCTTGTTAGTGGCAAAGAGATCAGTGCTGTTGCACCCTGTACCTGAGCTGTCTCCACACCACCCCTTGGACCTATTTGTACAAAGATAATAGTTCCTATATCCTTATGGGTAGCTTTGAGGGGTTCATATAGAAAGAAGCCTCCAGAAAGTCAAGACTCATGCCTGCCAATCTAAAAAAATTTCCTATCTGTGGGAATTAAAAAATGACAGTGGTCTTAAGTTGGTCTTGTCCATCCCAGACACCAGTCGCTATCAGGAACACTGCCTTTCGACATGGAGGGTGGTAATGTATGTAAGTATCAACCAGCCTTAGGGGTGCAGACTTTTGGGAGCAGGTGGATTAGAGACGCCAGCCTGAAAGGTGTCAAAAGGGAATGTAGGAAGAGCACATAAGAAGTTGTCACGGCCTCTCTGACCTGGTTCACCGTCTGTGCCTGATCAGCTCTGTCTCTTTCCATGATTAGTTTAAGAGCGAAGCTCATCCCAGTCTGTCTATCCCAGTTATGTGGATGTCTAAATTAAGCAGATGATTTCTCACTCCGGGACTGACGGTGATGATGTCTGACTGTACGTCACGTCTGTCGACTCCCACTTTTCTTCCTACCCCTCAAGTGCATTATGTATATTCTTCTCTATCTCCCTTTCGAAAACACAAGCTCCTTGAACACAGATTGCATGTCAATTTTGAACCATTTAACTCTCCTCGGGGTCTGGTGCCATTTGAAGTATACACTAGGTCCCGAAGAAGCACTAGGCACTGCTGGTGGTCATAAGGGGCAGTGGGCAGCTCGATGGTCCCGTTGGCCACAGCGAGGGTCACAGAGGCCAGGGCTGCTTCCCACCACGGTGACCTCACAGCCCCGGAGCGGGCCGGATGTCCAGGAAGTGGAGCTGGGTATTCAGAGACAAGGCACTCATCTGCCCTGTCCTCCCAAGGGTCTCTCTGGGGGCTCAGCTCCCTGCTCCCTGCCAAGGCCCTGAGGGCACTCACCTTTGAACATGATGGCCTCCCCATGGCCCTCCTTCTGCTTCTCTCGGAAGAGCTTGTAGCAGGCCGAGGTGCTGGCCATGAGCATCCGGAACTCCTGTGAGAGACCATTCAGAGGGCCAGTGTCAGCAGAGAGGAGGTGGCCAAGAAACGTGAAGAAGCCCCCGCTCTCAGCCCCTGGGGTCCCACCTGCATATTGTCTCAAGCCACTCTCTGCCGAGCAAAGGCCACCTGGTAGAGTTTTCTCTACTTCAGAGGAATATTTCTCACCCTTCCTGCTATAGAAATTCCTCCACCTCAGCAACGCCATCGAGTCAAAGCTCAGAGTCAAAGGTGACCTTGGACAGAGAGGAAGAGCTTCTCCAAGTGGCCAAGAGGCCAGGCCATTTGCACCAAATTTCCAGGGTTTGAAGTTGCAGCTGTTTCTTTTCACTTCTTGGGAAATGAAAGAACCCCTTTCCAGAGCCCCAAGCCCATACCCCATTGCTCTCTAGAGCATTATGGCCAGTACAGTGGCCACCAGCCCTGTGGGATTATTGGACACTTGACTTGTGGCTGGTCTGAGTTGAGATGTGCTAAGAGTAAAATACACACCTGATTCTGAACACTTATATAAAAAAGAATGTAAAATCTCTCATGAATAATTTTTATAATGACTACATGCTGAGGTGCTAATATTTTGGATTTATCGGGTTAAACATTTACCTGCCACAGCAACAACGTACAAACCAGCTTCAGCCTACTTCCTTCTTCCTCTCTGTGGTTGTCTTCCTCTAGATACCCCTCTCTGTTGACAAGAGCTGGTAGTACAGGGATTCTGCACTATCCTATTCACTCCAGCCTCAGGGGCCAGCTCACCTTTGTGCCTGGGATGGGGACGAATGTCATGAACTCATCTACATGGCCCACGGTCAGCCAGTCTGAGTAGAGCTCCACGGGTGCCTGCACCTGCTGGGCCTGCAGGAAGTCCCTCACCACCTTGGTCATCCTCCGACCACCAGACCTGGGGTGGGGTTGGGGAGGAGACAGTTCTTCAGAAGGTTGCCCACTGTGCCTGTCTCACCAGAGGGTCTGCAGGAGGAGTTCAGACTCTAGAATCTAGCCTGGACCCAGAATAGCATTGGTGGAAAAGTCATGGGAAGGAGCCTGAGTTGCAGAGACCCTGGCACAGGCAGAAAGGTGTTTGAGCCCAAGGGGAAAAAGGAGGAGTTAGCTGTAGCCATGGTCTGTGTGAAGAGCATAGAGCCCATTCTTTGGCCACTGAGGGTGTCAGTAGGTGTAAGAAGCCAGCTTCTCTGCTCAGGGATCCCTCATGGACTGCTGGAGGGGGCTAGGACACAGGCATGATTCCAAAATCTTCCCTAGCCTATGTACCTCTCCGCTGTTAACTTCTCAACTTCAATCATTTCAAGTGACACCTCTTCCAGGAAGCCCTTCCTGACTTCCACACTCCCTGAGGTCTTCAATCTCCCCATTACCCTTATAATATAACCCCAAAACCTCACAGTGGCCAACAAATGCCTCTGTGATCTGGCCCCTGCCTGTCCCTCCTACCTCAGCTTCCTCCCTTCCTCCTTTTTCTGTTTGCTCTAGCCACATGCTAAACTTGTTACCAAGGTTTTGTCCTTTCTGTTCCTTCTATCTGGAATGCTCCTTCCCTTTGATCTTCCCATGGCTGCTTCCTTCTCATCATCTGAGCCTCGATTCCAAAGTCACTTCCTCAAAACCACAAAAGCCAAAGTGCCCCTGCCTCATCACTCTTTATCATGTACCCTATTTTATCTTCTTCATTGCACCTATTAGCACTCAGAAGTATCTTATTTATTTGCTTAATTCCATGTTTATTGTCTATACTGCCTCCATCCCTAATGGAAAACTTCCTGAGAGCTGCGACTTTGTCTGTTTTGCTCACTGCTGTCTCCCCGCAGCCCAGAACAATACCTGGCACAGAGAAGACTCTCAATAGATATTTGTCTCTAAGAAGAGCCCCTGTGATCTCCCCTAAGGGGGTTAGGGACCCCTCCTTGGGTTTCTCTGACTCTGTATCATTCTATCACTGTACACACCCTCTGTTTCATGTCTGTGATCTCCACCATCTCCTGGAAGGTGGGGGCTGGGCTTCATGTTTAGAACCCCATGTCTGGTGCTTGGCTGGTGCCTGGGAAATACCTGCTGAATGGATGAGTGACTGTTGAGTGGAGGGAGAAGGAGGGCAGGGTGAGCAAATGGTCACTGTCTGTGTCAGTGGCCTGCTGCAGAATGTAGAGAATCCCATGTGGCTTATAGGGACTTGGTGCCCAAATCCTGGCTGGTCCCACATGTGCGGGTTCCTGGCAGCCCTTTTGTGAAGTGAGGACCCACAGTACTCACTCTCTCCCCAGCAACTGCTCTAAGGAAGACTCTGCCTTCTCATCGGCTGGTGGGTGACCTGGGGAGGGAGTGAAGGTGTTGTTGACAGGCCAGGGAGCCAGGGACTCAGGCTTTGGGGCAGAGCCATGTCTTCTCATGTGTCTTTTGTGAATGGGCACCCCCGAGGATTTGTTGGTGTGCACTGATCCTCTTTCGGTACTCCTTCTCTGAACTCCTTCATCTCTTCCCCACTTTCTTTATAATCCCATTATATTCCCTCCCATTTTGGGAAGAGGGTTATTTATTTAGTTTTGTATTAGGTCCTAATTCATACTAAGATGTAAAGGCTAACTTGGTTTTCTTTCCAAGAGTGTCTGTATCTTGTCAGAGAGTCATGGGAGAGGTTAATTCTCCCAGCCAATCACTCCATGTACGAGCAACCCAGTCTGCTCCTAAAGGGAAACAATAACTCCCCCTGCCTCCCCCCCACCTGCCCGCAGGCCCACCCTGGCTTCTCTTACAGAGGAAAGCTGGTCCCGATGAGGATCCGGCCCAGGGGGTATGTCTTGCCATTCACGGTCACTGGTGGACTGACCTCGAGGTTCCCAAAGGAATCAAGGCTGGTGACAGGCTCAAAGAGGGGCTCCCGGGTCACGTAGCCAAAATCTGGGCCCTGGGCAAGAGACACCTGTCATTAGTCTCTTGTGGTCAGGAGCCCTTAGCCCCAACCCAGCCACCCTCTGATGACCACTTTGCACTACCTTTGGTCTGGCTCTGTGAGCACTTAGCTTCTAGGGGGGTCACCCATGCTCTTCTTATTCCCACTGATGAGCAGGACCCTGGCATGGGGAGGCTGAGTTTGTGAGTATGTCAGTATGAGCGTGAGAATGAATGTGAATATATGAGTGTCTGTGTGTGTGTATACATCTGGGTCTCTGGGTGTGCCTCTATTTCTTAAACACGGAGACATATTGGTGATTTCTGGTTTGGTCCTCATTTTGTGCTATTGACATCCCCACTCGTCTCTTAATGTGAGCAAGAAATGGACCTTTGCTGTTGTCAGCTATTGAGATATGGGGGCTGCTTGTTACTGCAGTCCTACCAAGTGAAAGCTGACCAATACATGCAGGAATGGCAGATATGTAACATATATACCAACCCAACCCATTCCCAACTAACCCTATTTATTCATATTTATATCTGGAGCCCAGATATAGCCTCAGAATCCTTCTTAGCACAGAGCTCCAACAGACTGCAGTTACATGATATAACCCCAGTGACGCCCCCTGAATTTTAAGTTTCCTTTCATGATTTTTTGGTAAAAAAGTAGGGATCTTGCTTGGGAGCTTGCACTGGGGCTGGAACTAAGCTTGTCTGGCACAAATCCTTGCTAATAAAAACCAAAGAGTGAGAAGATGTGGCTTATCCTGGCCCAGCTTAGAGGCTCAAGAGACAGCTGTGCCCAGTAGGGTGAATGGCTGCAGCTTAGTGCTTTCTCGCCTATGAGCCCCAGATGGCAAGGTGAGACTCGCCAGAGGCTGGGGCAGCTGGGGATTTACAGCCTCACATGGGCAGGCAGGCATGCAGCACAAAGTTGGGCTTGGCCCAGGCCTCCAGGAATAATGCAGTCTGGGGGCCTTGGTACTAGGCCAGCCTGGAACACTGAAGGCAGGTGGTGACCTGGGAAGAAAGAGTAAGAGAAGGATCTGAGAGGCCTTGGTTCTCCTGCCTGCTGGCTGGTTTGACTATCCCTCATGTTAGAGGAAGTGGACAGTCCTCACCGAGGACAGTGTCCAGGGCTGTGGAATGAGAACCAGAACAGCAGCTAATAATAGTCATTGTATCTGGAGCAGCACGGATGCCTTATATAATGCTTTCAATCTTCACAATAAGCCTGTGAGATGGATACTGTTTCTATCCCCACTTTACAGATGAGCAAACTGAGGCTTGAGGAGGTTAAGGTGTTTGCCCAAGGTCACATTGCTGCTAAGGGGTGGAACTGGGACTCAAGGCCAGATCTGTCTGGCCTTCCAGAGCTTTGTGCTCACACCACT